GGGACATTTCCAGCTTTTCAAAAGGTTGTTTGAGGGCCTGGAGTAGATTTTCTCTGGCAGCTGCACATGCAGAATGATTCTAATAAACAAAAGGAGCAGTCAGAGAGAGAACCACCCCGGAGTCAGTTTACGTCTGAATGTGGCTAAACTTTGGGAATAGAGGGTGAGACCGAGTCATGCACAAGCTCGTGATTCCCTTCTGTAACATCATTCAGGGCTTCCTTGTAGATTTAAAATCCAGAGCCCTACAAACACGTTTGAAGGGTAAATAATGAGAGATCTGCGGTTTTCTTGTTGGTGTTGCTCACTTTTTAGTCTTGGAGCTCACACAGCAGTTATTCCTAAAAGGGTAACTAAACAAAGAGTTACTGAAGGACACTGTCTGACTTCAAAGTTCAAAAGAAGGATCATATTGTCGTCGCATCCGTCCAAAGAAATCTTTTAAAAAGTTCAACTGGAGTGTTGTAATTATGTGTTAATGTCTTGTTGCGCATTACGAAAGGTGAAAAAATGCAAGTCTCTACATAAAAGCAAAATAATTTTCTTTTGCAATAAAGATGAAATTAAGGTCAGTCCTTCAGGGCAGTTATTTGGGGGATAATATCTTGGGTTTATTTAAAAAAATTTATAAATGAATTCCAAAATAAAACAATTAAACAGTCAACTTAGTGTTGTGAACCCAAACTGCTGACGAGGAACGCCCTGCAGCAAAATATTCACCACTCGTCTTAGTTCTCTGAAACTAAATCCCACGCACACACGTTAGAACAATCAAATGGTGGCCTTTGGAAAAACAAAACAACAACAAACATTTGCCAAAAAATGATTTACTCAAGGATACTTCCCGCCTGAGCTCAAAGTGACATCTAGTTTTTTATTATTTCCCTCTGTTGACCAGGCGATCCAAACCAAATGACGGATTCACATTCTACTTTGGGGACTTTTTGGATTTGAAGTCTGCAACATTCATGTTAATGTCTTGATGATGAAAATGTTGTCTTAATGCATGAAAATGGGGCTGGTGATGGAGCAGTGGATAAGACGCATGCCTTTGGTGTGAGAGACTCAGGTTCAGTACCCACTGTGACCCGTCCACCATTGTGTCCCTGAGCAAGACACTTAACCCCTCGTTGCTCCAGAGGCGTGCGACCTCTGACATGTACAGCAATTGTAAGTTGCTTTGGATAAAAGTGTCAGCTAAATAAATAAATGGAAAAAACAATACCTTTAACAACGTTTACTGATGAAACTGGTTAGTTTAGTATTCAGACCTATAGATTTTTCTTTCGAGGCTGTCCTCCCAAGAAGAAGAACAACAGCATCAGTCGTTTCACAAAATGTCCCAAAATCTCTTTTCTTTATGTTCAAAACAAAAAAGACCTCTCGTTGCAGCAGGAATTGTGACTCCTTTCTGTTCTGTGTGATGTTTGCTGCTATAGAATACATATACTGTATATATTTTTGACAACAGTTTAACCTTTTTAGAGTATAGTCCCACACATGTTAAGTAATTATTATAAAATACAATAGTTATTATCAATATTCACATAGTCATTACTACAAAAGTTAAAGTATGGGGCCCAACTTAAACAAGTGAATAATATAAAGACATAAAATGTAGACAAACAACCTTAAAAGACCATTTCTCTAACTCTGAACACACAGACATGATTTTTTAAGATAAACTTAATGGCAAAGATGTCGTGATCTCTGGTTTCCATTGGGAATGAAAGCAAACAAATGAGCTTAGAAATCATAGGTGTACAGTGTTTTTGACTTTTGTCTTCCTGTTTCAACATCGACACTGCTTTCAGGTCCATTCAGACCCGGTTTTACCAATGACATCAACCCCATTCAAACCATTTTGGGATGAACTGTGAGACCTTGCAGGATGCTCTGGTGTTTGAATGGGACAAATCCCTGCAGCAGGTTCAACGTCTGGTGTAAAGGCTTAAAGTAGAAGAGAGGAAAAGTAGAAGAGTGGAGGCTGTTAGAGCAGCACATTAACGGACAATCACATGTTCAAGCGTCCAGATACATAGCATTCTCCAGGTTGTGTGGTGAAAGTAAAGCAGATTATTTCCAGGGCTAGAGGATGGTTTGTCAATGAAGGCCTCCAGCAGTGTGTGTGTGTGGTAAAAACTTTGACGCCTGAGAGGATTAAAGAAAGTGCAGCAGGTAGAACATTAACGTCTCTCTCTTCTCGTTCTGTCTGTCAGTGTAATTTCCCACATCCTCATGTTTCGGCCTCGTGACGGCAAAAATGCAGCTCAGCTTAGTTTAATCTTACCTCCTGCGTGGAGGCAGGCGTCTTGCATGTTTCCTGCAGATAGGCAGCAGGAGTGTGTAACTCAGGGCAGTTTCTCATTGAGTACTTGCATTATCAGGTTTTTGAAGCTAAAACCACTCGACATGTCTTCAAATGAGCTGCAGCTGCAACTGCTGCAAACGTTGACCTTTAGCTTACCTGAATGAGATCGAGATGTTTGCCAGTTCATGTTAAATAGGGCACATTTATGAGGATGTGGCGTCCAGTTACAAGAAATTAATAATCAATCATCAGGGTTGCAGCTCTTATTAAAGTTGAGTTGCATTGTGGGTTATGTAGGCGTCAGGTTTTGACAAGGTAGAAGAAAGTGTGCAATAAAAAAGATGAGATGATTTTTACATTACAATTTACATTTGGACAGAGCGGAAAAGCTCTTTATCAAATATTTTGCACACTTGGTTGAAAATAATAAATGTGGCCTAGACTAATTAATTCATCTTGAACCAATGGAAAAAGTACCTTTTTATAATTGAATATGTTTTGTGCCAAAATGCCACTTAAGAAGATCCATTAATCAGCTGAAATTGATCAGTGTTTGCCCCCAGCTACAGATATTTAATTCTCGCCCTGGTTGGATGAATCTCAACATGAAAAACTTAATTTAAAGATGAGATTATAAGTTAACTAAGCTCTAACAAAGTAATCACAATGTCTCTGCTCAGATCCCTCATAGATCCACACAGACTCATTAAGGCAACTCTTATCTTCTGTCACAAGGTCGAAACACTTCAAAAACATCTTCACTTCTGCCTCGAATCAAATCCCTCTCTCCGATATCTCTGTCTCCTTCTCCTCCTCTTCTCTTCTGCTCTTATCTTAAATTCAAAAAAATCCTTTGTACCTCTTCTCAACTGTTTCCTCTTCTTTTTTTTCCCTGAACACTGTAATACTCCTCTCTCTTTCTTTGTCAAAATGAGAAACTCCTCTTCATTTTTAAAAGTCTCCTGTGCATGAGAAAGAAAATCTCCTCAGCTGATTTCTCTTCCCTCTTATTAAAAGTTATTCTGGTCTGTCTGGTATATTTTCGTACAATCACCTCTGACCCCTTCACTGACTGACTGTAAAGATATCAAGGCTCTGAACATTTTATCTATTTTAGAAATGCAATAATTAGTAAATGCTTGGAAAGCTAAATCATGCTACATGAACCGATTCATCATGTTTAGCCCAAAGGTTTGCTTTGATCACTGGAAAATAGCACTTCTTGCTAATAAAACTCTCCACTTAATGTCAGAATAATACAAATAGGAGTTAACAAGCAATATTATTTGAAATCTTATCAAAATTTAAGGCATTTGGGTACTAGATGGCAACATGGGAGTGGATTTTCACTCCCATTACACAGTAAAAAAAAAAATCATGTCCCATTAAAAAAAGATAATAGTGTTCATTCATATTAGAACTGCAAGTTTTCCGTCCTACCCTCACCCGTGACCCACAGAAAAATATTTCAGCCTTTATTGGACACATATGTTTTGTTCTCAGCTAACTACATTCTGACATTGGTTTGCAATTTTATATTTATCTTAAACGTGTATTTTAGTCTTTTCAATGTTTTCTTGCTTTTATCTTGTATTGTTTTTGTATTACTGTCTTTTGGGTATTATTGTCTTTACACTTGTTAAAGCACTTTGTAACTTGTTTTTGAAAAGGGCTCTACAAATAAAGATGATTATTATTATTATTATCTTCCCCAAAGGTTCTTTCATTTATATCACATCACATGGTCGTCATCAGAGACCGGAAATATTTATTGATGGTATCATATAACCTTTGTCAGCAGTTGGAAATAGAAATTTGAGCATCTACAGTGACACAACAACTGCGTAGACGCCGTCTGCTGATGATCATGTGACCCAGGGTCAAGAGTTAAATAAATAAATATGTGCCGGCCAAGTTACACTTTATATAGTGGACAGTTCAGTTCCAATCAGCATTTAAAGTGACTGCAAAATGTGTGTCCAAAACGGTGACATTGTCCAAATCTGCCTTGTAAATCATTGGGAAACCTTTATGATGGAAAACAGCTGCGATGTGAAGAACATTGTCTCCATCTAGTGGCTGTAAGAGTGTACTGCATCTTGAATATATTAACAGACAGGTGTAAAAGCCTTCACCTGGGGAGGAAAACAGCTCTCCCTAGTGGAGGTTTGTTGTACTGTAGCATCAGAAATATATTTCTAAGGACTACTTACTAATAATAATAATAAAGGGCCCAATAACTGAAAGTGTGAAGTCCCTATTGTAATTCAAGGAATCATCATCCTCATGGCTGGAGCAGATATCTTTAATAAATAAAAAGATAAAGAATCCACAGTGACGTGAACTCTCTCTGCCTTCTTGGCCAAACAAAGTTGATCAACATACGAGTTAAATACAGCTGTTAGATGTTATTCTGTCCATCTTTATTGTGCTGAATAAGGCAGGGTGAGTCATTTTAAAAAATGACAAGTGGACATCAGGGTAGCTCCTCATCTGGTCCAGTGAAGGCTTGTAGGGCTCAGGGGTAGCAGGCAGGCCAAATCTCAAACACATAACAGTGTGTGGAGTGCCACTGATGAAGTCCAGCAAAGATGTGTACAACTCAAGCTACCAATATCTTGGATCATATGGCTAATTAAAGTTTCAGACAACTAGTCAAACCAAATATAATTATAGAAGACACAAAACATTTTAAAATTGTCACAAAAAAATCCATTTATTGGAGTTTAAAGGAGACACTGCTATTTTACTGGCATGGATACCAACCACTTGTTTTGTGTTGGCAGAAAAACCTTGTTTTATCTCTCAGTGATTTAGACTTCGTCTTCATCCTTTCATTCCTTCTACCAGGTCAAACGTTGCTCATTTAGACGTTCAAAGTGTAAAATACAGTTGGTTTTAATCGTCCGTCCTCAGTCTTGATAAAACACCTCAGCTGCACCAGTTGGGACAAACTAAAGATTTTAACCTTTACGAAAGGAACAAAGGCACAGTGTGATTTCAGCTACACACACACGCACACTATTCCCAAATAACACCACACACACCTTCCGCACGTCCGAAACCTTAGCTAGCATTCTTGCCGTTCCTCTTCTTCTTTTTCTTCAGCGTTTGCTTCTTGGAGAGTCGGCATCAGAGTTTTCAGTGGGTGAAGCTGTCTTTGGTTTCTCTTCTGGAACTTGCGCTGATTCAGCCTGGACCTCCTCGTCTCCCACTGGCACCACTGGTTTGACCTCACCAGCCTCTGGTTTCGGGTCTGTTGGTGGATTAATCTGGACTTTCTCAGGCTCTGTTGTTGGAACTGGTTCAGCAGGTTCCTGCTGGATCTCCTCCTCTAGTTTAACAGGTTGCACCTCTTTGACCTGGGTTTGAACTTTTGCTTCTGTTGCAGAAGTGTTCTGCACAGGTGTTGGAGCTTCTGGTTCCTGCTGGATCTCCTCCTCTAGTTTAACAGGTTGCACCTCTTTGACCTGGGTTTGAACTTTTGCTTCTGTTGCAGAAGTGTTCTGCACAGGTGTTGGAGCTTCTGGTTCCTGCTGGATCTCATCCTCTAGTTTAACGGGTTGCACCTCTTTGACCTGGGTTTGAACTTTTGCTTCTGTTTCAGAAGTGTTCTGCACAGGTGTTGGAGCTTCTGGTTGGTGCTGGATCTCATCCTCTAGTTTAACAGGTTGCACCTCTTTCTCCTTGACCGGGGTTTGAACCTTTTCTGCTTCTGGTTTTCCATCAGCTTCAGAAGTGTTCTGCACAGGTGTTGGGGCTTCAGGCGTGGACACTGCTGGCTGTGGGAGAACTGATTCTGCTGCCTCTGATTTTACATCTACCGTCTGCTCAGGGACTGAAACCACCTCCTTTCTGACCTGAGTTTGGGTTTTAAACTGGTCAAACGCAGAAGCCACCAGGTCTTCTTCAGGGTCTAAATCACCGTTGTCCTCTTGATCGTCGTCGCTGGGTGTGGCCAACAGGGAGGCGGCAAACTCCTGCAGCTTGGCCTGCTCCTCCTTCAGGCGGGTCATCCCCTCCGTTAATACTGGGTCTTCCTCCTGGATCTCCTGGATCTCCACAGTGGTGAGCAGGGCAGTTTTGTCAGCACCCTCACTGTCAGGGATGGCGTCGGGTGTAGAGCTGCCGAAGTACTTTGATGGGAGGTTGGAGTTTGCTTGGCGGACTTCCTTGATCTTGTCATAGAGGACTGCCCTCTCTTCCTGTAGGGCACGACACAGCTTCTCCAGCTTCTGGATCTTCAGGACGAACAGGTCGTACTCTTTGGCTTTCTCACCTCTCTGGAACAGAAGGAGGAGGGATGTAGAAGATGAGGAGCAACGGAAGTGATAGCATGATGTATAGTAAATTATGTTTTGTTATATATTAAACTACAGCTGAAACGATTCACAGAAATCTAATTTGATCGTTTAAGTAATTTTTCATGCAAAAACATTTCATGTTTCCAGCTTCTCACACGTGAAGATTTGTTGCTTTTCCTCTCAATCGTTTTAATAATTTGAAGGTTTGTTAATAATGTTGAGGTTTGGACTGTTGTTCAGACAAAACAAGCGTTGTGAAGGTGTCACTTTGGGCTCTGGGTAACTGTGACGGCAGAATCTTTACAAACAAAACAATCAATCAATTAATGAGAAAATAATCAGCAGAAGAATTCACGATGAAATTAATTATTAACTGCGGTCAGACACAAAATAGTTAACATAAGCTTCACCTCAACAACCACAGCAGTAAATTACTGCTTTTATATGAATGCGTAAAATAATCTCTAATGATATGTAATAGTAAACAGGACATTTTACTGCTTAGAGTAATTTTACTTTTAATATATATACTTTAATAAAAGTACATTTTCATTATAATACTTACATACTTTTACTTAAGTAACAATTCAAATGAAGTACTTTTACTTGTAACAGTGTAGTATTAGTACCTTCACTTAAGTAAAGGATCTGAATACTGTGCCAGTTTTAATGAGTAGTATTTGGTATAGGGCTTTTAAAAACAGTAAGTATTTTTATCTTTACTCTCCATTTTAAAATATCTGTTAATTTTCCTGAAAGAAGTTACTTTCTGCCCATAAAATGAAATTTGGATTCTTAAAATTTTGTCCAATTTAGGATTAATTATTCTGCAAAGGGGAAGAAAAAATTATGACTTTGCTGATTTGTATCAAAAAGATCCATGGTCACCATGTTATTCCTCCACTTTTTACTGAAGCGACTGCATCGTAGTTCAAATGGACTTTATTATGTCCAAAAGTATATGAACACATCCCTGCTCACACCACTGTGACATTTGCCACTGATTCAGACTGTCTGACTGTACGTTCAGTTCAAAAGTTAAGAGCTCAGCAGTCAACTATCTATAGATAACAGAGTTATCAGATAATGATTATGCCAGGGATCTATCAACACTCAACAAAACCCCAGAAGAGTCAACGGGAATTTCAGCATTACAAGAAACAGCAGCAATGTCCTCAACAAACCTCTTCAATCATGTCAGTCAGAGCTTTGTTGCAGTTCTCAAACCTCGTCTTCCACAGATTTGACTCTTTCTCCATTTTCTTCATCTTGTCTGACATCTGCAAAGGGAAGAGTTTAAAATTACACGTCTGAAAACACCTTTTTTTTTAAAACTAGGGCTGTCGCGACAACCGCAAATATTAATACCGCGGAGGATAGCAAGACGCAACACCGCAATGTTCATAGCCTTAATTCATTAATTTTTAAATTAATAAATTAGTGCTTCAAAAGTCCCATGGGCTGTACGCGACCTGACTTCAAACTTGGAAGCTGTAAGTTTTGCCGTGTTTTGTGTTTTACTGGTTAGCTAACTTTAGCATATTGCGCGGCTAATGTGGCTATCAGGCTCGGCGAGGTCGGACTAACGTAACGTTGATCCTGAGGGACAGTCGAGAGAAACTGAACGCTAAGCCTCATTTGAAGCTCTCAAACTAACGAGCGTAGTGTGTCGGACGCCCGCAGCTGTTTTTCATGTTGCTTTCTGTGGAAATTTAGTTATAACGTTACGACAGCGCAAATTGACTTACACTTAAATGTTACGAGTATGTTGTTGCTTGCGCCGACCATAAAGCTGCTGTTAGCGGCTCGATGTGCAGTGAGGTGAGATCCATCCTCTTCTTGCTATATGACGATATGGCACCAAATTACTTAATTCATGAAAAATGTGATAATACCGCAACATATTTCCGCAGGGGGAAATTACTTCACCGTGACAGCCCTATTTTTAACAAAACATTTAGAGTCAGACAAATGGTTGCTTTGGGAAATAGAAACATAAGATATTATGATTTAAAAACTCCCTTTTAAAGAGGACAAGTAAAGACAGTACTGAAAATAAAGACAAGAAAATTAGGGCTGGACAATGAAACTATAACAAATGTTCAATAAATATTCTATAAATTTTGATTTTATTCACTTGATTCATAAACGAATTAGAACTTATTTTTTATTGAGATGTTTTTTTGTTGAGGAAAAAGGACGGGAAAAAAAACTTTTACTTAATTTTACTAGTGCGTATTTTTGACAATAAATTTATAATTGTTTTGTTTCTGCCTCAGATTTGTGAAGTAATCCACTGTTTGGCATCAAGTGTTGATCGTGAAGGGTTTAAACTACAATTAACCATCAGGTTTCTTCAACTTTCACTCAGGAGCTAAATTATCAGCCTTTAAACTCAAAAGAAATAATGATTAGATATTTATCGTGATAATTATCTATCGAAAGATATGAAACTTTTTAGCGTGACAACATTTTTGGCCATAACGTCCAGCCCTAAAGATAATTATAAAACACAGCGGGCACCACCCACATTATCCATCTCCTTTTTGAAGCGGACGTAGATTTCGTTGCTCTTGGCCAGTGTCGCCTGAAACTCATCAAACTTCTGAGCGTAGAGGGCCAGCTGTGGACAGGAGGAAAGCGATTCAGACTGATCCACAGACAGACATGATGAGCACAATATTCAAATCAGACTGGTCTCTGGAGAGACAACAACTACTCACATATCTGGATTTCAGACCAAAATCCTATTTAAACATTCGCCGCTTAATGTTCATTAATCTTGTTTTCTGTTAAACTTGAACAAAATAATTCATTACTAATTAAACTCACAACAGGTCAAACTTTAATGTGAATTAGCTTAAAGTGTTTTACAGTGTATTCTGACCACAAAACCTGTAAAAGCAACACAGTTCACTGTGATCACTGTAAGAAGGTGATGGAAAGTACTGAAGTTCAATTCTAAGGTACTTTACTTAAGTGCTTCCATTTATGCTACTTTATGTTTAGCATAAAAGTACTTCACTACATCTCAGAGGGGAATATAGTATTTTTAACTTCACTACATTTGTTTGACAAGCTTAGTTACTAATTACTTTGCAGATTGAGATTCATGATACAAAATATAATCAACAAATACATTATGATCGATTTAGATAAATATTTATTGATCTCTTGGTGAAATTCAAAAGCTATCCAGCAGTATACATTAAAGCATACATTTTTCATAAATAAAAATATAATAATAATAACATTACTATAATAACTTTTATTGAAGTAACAATTTGAATGCAGGTTATTTTATTACTTTTAGTTAAGTCCTGAGTACAAAATGTAAGTTGCCTTAAATAAAAGCGTCTTGGGGACTACATTGACTTGTTATAATGTTTTTTGTAAAATTAAAAACCGCAATCCTCTCCTTTTCATTTACTTATATGAGCATTACTGTGGTCATTTTGCTATTAATCTCACTGTTCAAACATACACATCTATCAAAGAGACAAAAAATGTTTTCTAAAAGACAGCGCAGGACAGGCACATAATTGTATGTCTAAAGCCTGACTTTTGCTCTAAAGCTTGGGAACCGTAAGGCATCAGATAATGACTGGGCCTCTTAGTGATAAATTACAAATTGCATCAGTCATTAATTATGAGTCATACACTCTGCTAGAGGCCATTAATCATTCACAGTTGCTCGATTTTAACATTCAGCATCGCAAATTAGGGAGACTTAATATTACTTAATATTCCCTTCAAACTCTCAGGAACACAGAACAAAGTCGTCACAAAAATAAACTTTAAAAACATTTACAGAAAGAAATGCAGGAACACTGGTGCATTAAATTCATCCTGTTCACAGAGGTGAATGAATGTCAGTCACGTCAAACCTCTTTGTCTGGCTGGGACTTAAACTAACTTTTCAAAACTAACTTTCAAGTCCTTGAGGGCAGGTCCAAGTCAGGTCTCAGGCTCTTACAAGCAAAATGCAAGTCCAGACGCAAGTCATTCAGATTTCTGAATGCTAAAATGACACGACAATTTACAGATTTTAACAGGTCAAAACGTGAGATGATGATTTTTCTCATCAAACTTCTTCAGGTAGTCAAGTCTCAGTCCCTCATTTGTCTCTTACTAGACCCAGTCCTAATCCCCAGACTCTGTGTTTCCTATTCTTTTATTAACGGTTACCATCTGTAAATTAATATTTGGGATCACATAAAAAATGAATTTGAGCATTCAGAGCTTAGTTTCTCTCTTTTGATCATTTGGATGTGTGAAATATTTGGTTGGCTTTAGGAAGGAAGGAATTAATTAATGTCTTCTATCACAGCAGGAAATATATGAGTACTCTGGGGTTTAGACGGATAAAGGGTCTGTCTGTGTTGCATGTTGTGTTTTGGTGAAAAGCAGTTAAAAACACAGTGCTGTTGGATTTTTCAGATGGAATTTTTCAATGGTTTCAGCACCACAAACGCAATTTAATTCACCCCCATTGTAGTGAGATAGATGCAAAAGATATTTCAAAACCTGAATCAATAAAAACCAAAATTATGTTATCTGTGATTTAACCTTTTACACTTTGAAGTTGGGGATTTAAGGAGGCAAAGTGAATTTTAAAAGCCAGAAATAGCTGTGAGGGTATAACTAAGTTCCTCTTAACTAACTTACTGTAATTGTTTTCTGATCAAAGCTGGAGAGTTTGCAAATGAACATACTGCAGTATCATATCAACTTTACCAATTTGCTGAGTTTTGCAATTGAACATTCATACATGGGGTTTTTTGAAAGGTTTATTCGATGTAAATCTTCAGATTGATGATTCAGTATTTCCCCAGCATCATTCTCCAGACTTTGAAACTGTGTTTAGCGTGTGCTCGGTTAGCGTGATAACATCCATCTCAGTTTTCTAGGACAAAGATCCGCCCTGCCGCTGCCACCAGGTGTGTGCTAGCTGTCCTCGCTTGTCAGCATGTTAGTTTTGTCAGTGAATATTCACCTGCGCTTGCATGACAGTCCCCTGCTCTCTGAGTGTCTGAGCCTGCAGTTTCCACTCTGCAGCCTGAACCAGTAACTGGTTAGAAGAGAACAGACGGAGACACATTACAGACGTTTCTTTACCTTCTTCTTCATGGCCAGCTCCTGCTCCTTCATAGCGAAGCATTTCTTTGTTTTGTCAATAGCCTCCCTAAGCAACTACGGCGACAAAGACAATACACAGTCAATCTGGGTGGCCTTCAAACATTAAGGATAACTAGCGAGTTATTGATGATGAAATAAGATGAATAGTATAGTAAAAGGATAAAGGTGAGGAAAAAACAATGAATCAAAGGTTCACACTCAAGTTGAAAGCACATGTATAAAGTAATACATTTTAAATTAATATCAAATGACATTACAAAGCAGTGGCATCAGAAAAAGAAAATATCAATAAAAAGGGAAATCTAAAATCTAATAACAGAAATTGAACTGTTGCTTCATGATAATAATCTCTGTGAATGATATTAAATAGCTGCTGCAGTATTGGCTCACTGTATTTCTGGGTTGCAAGAGTCAAGAATCACTATAAAAGTATGTAATATAAATATAATTAAAACACCGAAATGTTGAGGCAAACATGTTTTACTCAGTCCTCATGTAAGGATGTTAAAATTATCCATTTTACTGTATGTACTGGTTATAAAATGTGGAGGATATAATATAATGATTAATGATTGTTTAAACTCACATATTCTTTCTCTCTCTTGTGCTTCTCCTCGGCTTCGTTCAGCAGAGCGTTGGCCTGCTGCAGTTTGGCTTCAGTCAGTTTGTGCTGCAGGTCGCGCCGCTGGTTGATCTTCTCCAAACTCTGCAGAGCGAGGAAGAGAGTCTTCAACAGAAAGTATCTAAATCTGGAACAGTTATTTTCAACTCAGTCCCCTAAAGCCCAAGTTAAAAAGTTCAAATCACTTGTTTTGTTCAGCCATCAATGTGAAACCTAAAGATATTCAGTTTATTGCCATACACGACACAATACTGCCAGCAAATTTCACATGTCACCCTTTTTTTTATTATATGCTTATTGTAAGTTTTTCTGATGTATGTGACGCTGAGGTGCTATTAAATTAATTTACTTTGGAGCTTTAAAATTTAGCTTATATGTAATTGTACTGGTGTGTATACAACAATATTTATATTGTTGTACACATAATTTCACTATATTCCTTTTTTTGGTACAATGTACTAATAAGGCATACTTGTATAAGTTGTAACACATGGCTTTATAATTGTTAGACTAAATCATGTGTTAATAGTTCTGTAATCAGCTGTAAATAAAAGACTTAACAAAAGGTAACACTGCATAACTTGCTTTGTCGTTTTATTTTAATCTTGATGGCTCATTAAAAAGTGTTAAACCCATCAGGTCTGCTGTTTTATAAATGTTTTAAAGTCAGTAATTAAGGGCTCTTCTTCCTCTAAATGATTTATTTATAAAGCTATGGCTGTAAATAATGGCTTGTTACATCTGTAAAGAATACATCCCCCCCCTCCTCCCCTTACCTCCTCCCGCATCTCGCACTGGTTCATGAGACTCTCCAGTTTGTCGGTCAGGTTGCTGTTTTCGTGGCACAGCTTGTCGTTTCGGGCGCTGTGCTGCTCGATCTGGGCCTGGATTTCTGTCAGCATCATCTGGAAGTGGCTGGTCATCTCCTTCCTCTTCTCCTCATCCTCCCTGCAGCGCTGAATGGTCTCCTCCTGGAGGGATGGATGAACGGTAAAAGAAAAGCAGTTCAGTAGTGGCTTTGACTTTAGTCAGATTTATCTACAGAACGAAAATATGGAAAATATCAAGTTAATGATCAGTATCAGTATAAGACGCAGATCTCACATGTGTATTAAACTTTAGTGACTGCTGTTTATACAGTATCTACCCAGACTCCCAGCTGCACCTACACACCCTCAGTATGTTGTAGTGTCCCTGCAGCTCTCTGCACAGACTCTCCAGTTTGCTGCGAGCTGCGATGCTGCTGCGGCTCTCAGCCTGCAGCTGCTGCCGCTCATCCAGCACGGAGGACAACCTCTGCTGCAGATCACACAGCTTCTTCTCATCACAGCGCCGCAAGGCTGCCTACGCACACACACACACACACAGGTGGAAGGTGAGAAGCTTGTCTTTGTTGTGTGAAAACACTGTTCCCATAGCACATGTCTCAGCTGTGAAGAGTCTCCATATCTGAAACGAAAAGCTAATCTCACCAGCTCAGCATGTTTCTTGACCAAATCTTCCAGTTTCTTCTCTGGAGAAGAGATCTTGTTCAGACTCTGCATGATGAGAGAGACCTCTGTACAGAGAAGATGACAAACAAAAAGTACACCCAGAAGTTAAAACTCAGAATTGATAATTCACACACCAATTTTGCTTTGCTTTCAAGCTCCTGAACTCTAATACAAAATCTTAGCACAATGGAGCAATAAATACACCAGCACTTTAGCATCTAGCACTTTAATTCTTACAGGCACTTTTAAGGATGCTGTATAGTCTGTACAGTAAAACTTGTCTCTAGTGTCTCAAGATGTTTTAAGTTGATTTTATGATGTTTTTTTAGTACATGTTTGTGTTATGAAGCAACAGATTGTAGCATTGTGCCAAAGACAAATTTCCCCTCGGGGACAATAAAGTGTATTATTTTCTATTCCATTCTTTCTATGAAACTGAACAATATGCAAAAAACAAATTGCTTTCCCTAAATTCTTTTCAGTTCATGAGAGCTTATTCAAACTGTCTGTGCAGCAGTGATAGACCGTTTTTTCGTTCTTTCAGCTCAGTATCTGAATCACTGAGAATGTCTCCCTGTATTTGAGACTAGTTGTTTCACTCCATGTACTGAGTATTATTACTTTTCTGAGACTATTTTCATTAAAAAGTGTTGTTGGTTGTTCAAAATCAAATGCCTAAAATGACCAGATGTGCAATACTCAAAGAATAGTCCCTTTAACCCAGTGGTTCTCAAACTTTTTCTGTCATGTCCCCATTCAGAAGCCAACAAAAAGTTCATGCTCCCCCTTCCTTGTTAGCATCAAAGCACTTTTGTTTGTTTATGTCACTGCATGAATCATATTCCGGCAACTTTATGTCCTCTCACCACGACCCCCCTGAAGAGGCTCTAAGCCCCCAATTTTGAGAGCCACTGCTTTAACCATAGTAGTAGCAGTTTAAACAGCCATATGAATAGTTTCTGTAGTGGCTTCGGAAGGCACTGACAAACAATACCGTCCTGCTGATAGCATCCCTCTTACAGCATCTTGCTGCCTCACCTGTCTCCATGGTAACTGTGATGTCATCTTCCTCCTTCTCCGTCTCGGCCTCCACGACTCTCTGACATGTTCAAAATGACACAAAGCTTTGTTTACATTCCCTCACGTCAACACCAGTTAGAAATGAAATGACAGGTTGTGTTTACCCACCTGTTTGTCCGGGAGGCTGGCTGCGGAGCCGTGGGTGCTGATGATGTCCTCCAGCCGTCTGCTGAACTCCTCCATGGGGTCGAAAAAGTCGGAGGAGGAGCCACAGGCTGCAGCTGGAGCCGCCGCCGCCGCATTACCTTCAGCGTTCACGGCGTCCGCCACATCAGGCTGGGGCACCATCACCTCAGCTGCTTTCACCGACGTCTCCATCCTGAATGTTTTGGGACTGACGGACCGAGAGAGAACTTTTATTTATTTAAGAGTCATTTACAGCTGCAAGAAAAAAAAGTGTTTCAAGCTTCAGCAAGATAAAATATAACGGACTTTGTTTTGACACTTTTGCTTATGTAACTACACCGCCGCCACTAGTCCAGGCTAAGTTGTTTTGATTTGTATGGATCTGAGTCTAACAAATATCGTAATGAATCTTTTCTCTACTCTCTCTTATCTTTTTTTTTTGAAAGACAAATGTAACAAAAACAACCAGGTATTGATTTAACTTGAAGAGCGACCATTTTATTTCTTCACATCTCAATCCTTGAGGGAAGTTTTTGCTTTTGTTAGTTTTAAAATATAGCTTTTGAATATCTTTCCATAAAACTATTTTGGTTGTATTGATTGGAACAATGCATACTGACTCAGATTAGATACAAAGTTGTTAAATCCCAACCACATCCCACATTTTCAACACTCATGTGATCACATTCAGCGACATGAAACAGGGTCAACATCTGTATTCAACCAGTCAAACTAATTCTGCGTTATCTTGTGTAAAAATATCTGTCAGCTAAATCCACTTTTCGTTTTAATCTTTTAATTCAGCCTAGTAAAATTGTGGGTTTGACCGTGACAGATCGCAGCGTGCCTGTCATGTGATTAATGGCAAATGGATTCAAATGTAGGAAGATAATAAGCCTCTAATCTCCTGGGGCTCCTCTCGCCTCCCAGATTTCGTGTACACGGCTTCTGTGGGGCAAAGTAAGCTGATTGGCCGGTAAAATGGTGTCAGATTTCAGTATTTAACAGCTACTGTTAAGTTTAAGCTTATAACCCAGGCTGAATTCTTGTTCCTCTTCTATATAACATTTACATGCTTCCATTAGGCCACATTATACAGCGTATAACCTGTAACATCAACTAGTATGCAGATGACACCCACATGTATCATACTCTGACACCAAGCGACTTCAGTCCCACAGATTCTCTCTGCAAGTGCATTGGACAAATACATGATTGAGTGTGCCTGAACTTTCTCCAGGTGATGCAGACAAAACTGAGATACTCTCTTTGGTACAAAAGAAGGAAGGCTGAAATTTATCCAAGGAAGGTTAAAATCAAGGGCAACTGGACGCTTCGTCCCTCATCCAAAGTGATGAGGATGAGGGACAGCATACACTGTCCATAGAGTATGCTGTCCAACAAATGGCTCAATACAGAAGGGCCAACTCCTCAGGTCAAGACTCAACACTAAACACTAAACAAACATTCACTTTTGGCCTCAGGTGAAGATGCCAACGACGGTCGTTCAGACTCGGTCCCGGGTGTCTCCAACAACCGACTATACTCTTCAATAGCTGGGACTCCCTGCCAGTCAATCAGAACTGAAGAAGCCTCTTGGGTGAGAGACGACAAATCTTCAGGTATCTTCAAACAAGTCCAGCTGCCTTTGATTTTAACCTCCTCTAGATAACCGTGACCTGGATTTATGAGAATACTCACAGACATAATCCATGCTTCCATTTCCAGCAGGTTAGATTGCTGTAGTGACCTTTCCTCAGGTCTCCACAAAGTCAGTCTAAAACAACTTCAGTTCATTCAAAAGATAAACAAAGACCAAGAAAACTGAACAATCACACCAGGTCCCAGGGAACAGAGTTTAAAGTTCTGCTGCTCTTCTATTAATCTCCCAATGGCTTAGGACCCAAAATTCACCTTTTAGCATCCGGACCCTCGCATCAGGTGTGCAAACTAAACATGGAAAAGATACTGTGCACCACAGAGCTGAAGCCTCCACAGGATATTAGACATGACTTAGGTTGAAAACATTAATGTTCTGCACTGCCTTTGACTGGACCTTAAATACTCCCCATAAACCATCTTCCACTCCCGTCCTGTATTTATATTTCAAAAATGTTTCTAGTTTTTATCATCTGCATTTCACTACTTTTTTAAATGTTTAATACATTGTGTAAAACACTTTTGTGAATGAAATGTACAAAACAAATAAACCTTCCTTACCTATGAAGCCATTCCCCATCAGAGACAGATTGAATGACTTTTACAACAGTACCAACAGGATGAATGTAACTTTCTTTTACACATGGATAATGAAGTGAGTCAGTGGATCTTCAGGTGCCAACGTTTACAGCTAAACATCTCCATGTCAGATCCTGGTCCCCATTCCATAAATGCGAATCATTTTGGTGATGCCTCAATGTTTCATCTATTACCACCTCTGTTAGATTTCTCTGACATACAGAGGACGAATCCCGGTGATTTTGGTTTCCCCTGATCTTTTGTCTAGCCGCGCTTTATGGCCAAGATGTTGAACACTACAAATTTCAATATCAAATTTAATCTCCCAAGAAGATAACCGTTTATAATTTTAGTAGTCCAGTGATCGTTGCTCTAGCGCCATCTGTAGGGGAAGAAACTCCAGTCACATTTCCACCTCCCTGGGCCCCTTCAATGCCAATCCCTACCTGTCCACCAGATGACTTCAGACGTTCTCCACCACTTTTTCCAAGGTCACCTGACTTCATCAGGCCTGTCTCTACAGATACCAGCCTCTTCCCCACAGTCAGTTTCCAGGTTGTCTTTGTGTCGTTGCTTTCAAGCCACTGATAGGCTACCTGCACCCTGGTTCCTTACCCTGAACATTAATCTGCTCCTGCCTGGCTGCCTGCCCTTCTATCTGCCCCCTTCCTGCTTTCCTCTGGACCCTATATGACCTACCTGCCCATGAACGATCACCTTTGCATTAAATGCCTAAACTGTTCCTGTCTGCATGTGGGTCCAATTTCTTTCTCCATCGCTCTCACCCATGTGATAACTTTCATATTATGGAGTTTAGTTACCGTTACCATTCGGGACTCCTGACATTGAATCTTGTTATTCACTTGTGTGTATCCGTGTTACTATACAGTATGCTGTGTGTCCAGTGGCTGTTTATCCTCCCGTCTCTGTCGCAATACGACTGCTCCCCCCGTCATTGTATCTGGTAAGTTAAAATTAGACCCCTGCCCCCACTTTGTCTCATGAACACACACACTCCAGACCACACCTGTTATAGTCTCATCTATTCTGAGAGCGTCCAAATATGGTCAACACACACACACTGTATACACACACATACTATAAGAAATGTGGGAATTAGGATGTTTGTTTACGTCATACCCCCCCCCCCCCCCCAACCTCCTGATTTAATGACCCTCCGGCTCCACCCATTAAATTGCCCAACTAATCCCGACCCTCCCCCTGAATTCAGCTGTCAACCACATGAAAATAAACTTGACACAATATTTTTACTTGATGATAGTAGAGTCCAAATGTGTGCTCAAACCCGTAATAACAAAGTGAGTCATATTAAGCTGAGCTGAAGTGTGTTATGTTGTTTTCTACAATAGACAATCTTAGAAGAGCTACCTTGTTTTCTTGTTGTTGCTTTGTTGACCCAACTGTTGTGAATTTCTGAGTATATTTAACTTTTATTGAAAAGAAACCCAAGAGCTGGATCTTTTTTTTCAGACATAAATATCATATCTTCAAATTAGGTTTTTATGTAAAGATTTTATATCCATTTTGCCAATGCTTCTGCTTCCAAAGCATCATTGATTTGTTTGTAATAAAAAAAGAAAATAAATTAAAGTCAAGATGAGCAAAAGTAGCTGAAATAGCTGAACAAAGAGAGCAGAAATTAATCACTTGGAATCATGAGAAATGGTTGACTGACTGTTAACGTTTTTAAATCCTGGAAATTAAGGAGTTTCTAACGACTAACAGCATAAAAAAAGGCCAAAAAGTCCTAAAATCTTTACATGACAAAGCCTGAAGCTCAAAAAAGCAATAAAAAGTCACGTAAATGTTTAAATTTTCTCAATATCTCAAAACTGTAACACTTTTTGTGTCATGCTGCCAAAATCTACTACATACATTATCATCAAATAAAAAAATAAATAAATACAGGTCTTAAACGCAAATATTATCAAACTGTGGCTGAATGCTCTGACATGCTGACGTGAGGACACATTGTTCTAGTGACTTTACAAAATATTTACAGACTTTAAGACAGTGACAAAGCAACTTATCGTGCCATGGCAGCCATTATGGAAGCCCTCCATGTGTTTTTCCCATGTTCATTATACATTATATTACACAGTAAACCCGATTAGTAGCATATGAATGTATTTAAATCAACTAGCAGACCATTTTAATACCTCTAAAGAATAAAAACACATTTTTCCAAACAAGTCTACGGAAGGAAGAAGCACAAAAGTAACAACCAATCACACTTTCAACTAAAACGCAACAGTAATGCAAACATGGAGAGACACTTTACTGAAAGGAGAGATTTCTAAAGGGGACAGAGAATGAAAAGTGTCTTACCAGGATCAGTGAAGTGAAGGAGAGGAGTTGAAGAAGAGACAGAGAGAGGCAGAGGAAGGAGAGGAGGTGGAGGAGGAGGATCCTGCTGACGGGCGGAACGGCAGCTGACACCCAAAATAACCCGAGCGGCTCAGCTCACACTCTGAGGCTGGGTCACACGAGCGTTTCTGTGTGTTTGTGCTTAAACAGGAGTGTGTTCTGACGGGGAATAAAAGGGGGACGGGCTTCGCTTGAGGAAAGCTTCCTGACAGAGTTTTAATGAGCCTGAGCAACAAAACAGATCACATCTTATCTATAGTTAGGTCTATTTTTAGTTGTTCCAAAGTCTTCTGTCTATCTAGTCTTCCCTTCACAAGTATACTTGCCAACCCTCCCGGGAGACTCCTGTTTGTCATCGCCCTTTCCCAGTTTCCTCCCTGGGTCACAATTCTCCCTATTCATGACAAATGTTCACAATTCTGTGCCCTTTTCATTGGCTTCATTTGGGGCTGGGAGAAAAGATCGATACAGCATAGTATCACGACTATCGCGGCTTCCTCCCACCGTCCAAAGACATGCGGACCAGGTTAATTGGTGACCCTAAATTGTCCTTAGGCGTGAGTGGTTGTTTGCCTATGTGTGGCCCTGCGATGGACTGGCGACCTGTCAAGGGTGTACCCCGCCTTTTGCCCGATGTCAGTTGGGATTAGCTCCAGCAGAAGCGGTTGACGATGGATGGAATTTTACTTTTTGGTACTAAAAATAAAATCTGTTGCTTTTTCAGTCACAATTTGAAGTTGGAAAAAAGGTAATAAATTGCAATATATCACAATATTATTTAAAATCTCAATAATATCGTATCGTGACATAAGTATCGTGATAATATTGTATTGTGACATAGCCTATGTATCATGATAAAATCGAATCGTGGGGTGATTCCCACCCCTAGCTTAATTATAGTTTCTGGCACTGTTGAGGGTGTATAAGCTGTACAACTCTCTCTGTCTACTGTTTCCACACAGAAAACTAGCATGCATGGTGATGCTCATGACCCATTATGTTAAATTATGTTAAACTGAGTTAAAAGCCTGGTCAAATAAATATGTTTTTAGCATAGATTTTTAAAGAAGTGTCCAGTGTCCATCCTGAAACCAAGTATTCATCTTCTATCTGTCACTTCTGTCTGCCTGTCTGCTCTGTCTATTTTATGTTTACATTTATTCATTTAGCTGACACTATTATCCAAAGCGACTTACAATTGCTATGCATGTCAGAGGTCGCACGACTCTGGAGCAACTAGGGGTTAAGTGTCTTGCTCAGGGACACAATGGTGGATGTCTTACAGTAGAAATTGAACCCAGATCTCCCACACCAAAGCATCTTATCTATGCGCCACCTCCACCCCTAGTCTAGTTAAGTTCTCTGTGAGCTTGTTTATTGGTCAGTTCGGTATCTGTCTTTTAGTCTGTGTTTTGGGGGCTCAGTCCTGTCTGTCTGTTGTCTTGTGTCCAGTCTACTCAGGTGTGTTTTTGCATTTTGGTCTGTTTGTGTCTTGAGGAGTTTGTTTATGTTGTTTTGTCTTCTACTTTTTCTGTGTAGTTGTTCTGATCTCGGCCCTGTTTCAGAAAGCGGGTTTAGTGAAAACTTTGGGTTTTCGGTTTTAGAGAGCGAGATCAGATAAATTCTAGATCTGTAACCCCGGCAACTTACGCTGTGAACCTAACCTCCTCTCGAGGAGGTTAGGTTCCTCGAGAGGAGGTTAGGTTCAACAAACACTGAGTTTCTCTCTGACTCCTCCTGCGGAGCCAGAAGCGGCTGTATGACATTTCCTCATTCGTGTTGTCGATATCAAAGCACATATCGGAACGCAAGTATGTCTTTAGAAACAATCAATCGGTCATCGATGTAAGGACAGAGCGTTATCTTTGGACATCGTAAATGTATCCTCAGCACAGAATAAAATCTATAAGCTACGTGTAAGTTATGTAAGCTATGTAGTTAAAATACTAAATGAGCTTTTATTAATGTAAAATAAACGTCTAAAGCTTTACAGTCTGTTTGAACCTAGACACATTTTCCACTGCAAACAAATCATTAATAGACCAACCTACTGTGTCGGACTGTGACTTTACAACCACATGAGGAGCCTAAACTGTGTCTAATCTGTTCAATTAATATATTCATCTTCAGTTATTGCCACCGGTATTTAGTCCCGTCAGGTTCCAGCTGAATAAACAGGCCTGTAGTCTATTTAAAATGAATGTAGGCTTAATGGGCAATAGGAGAATTCCAGCACTTTATCATTCATTAAGGAAATCCCAGTGTGGTAAACTGTGGTAAATTAATGTGCAATGCGGTATAAAATGTAGTCTACTTAATATTGTTAACATATTGATCTTTCCTCCACTACGTGAGGATGTGAGGAACATCCTTCCTCCACTCCTGCGTTTTAGAGCCAATCATGGTCCGCTTCGGCAGCATTCATATTTCTGAACTAATTCTGATCAGCTGTTCTGGAAACACAAACTCAGAGTTTCCCACCTCAGGCTCAATCAAACCAGAGCTCAGGGATAAGCTCAGAGTTTGTTAAGCCTGCTTTCTGAAACAGGGCCCTGTTCCCCCTGTTGATCACTCTGCCTGCATGTCCATCTCTGTCACCTGTGTTACTCCCGCCCTGCTCGTTAATCCTTGTATATGGCCTTTCTGTGCTTTTTAAAATTCAGTCTCTGTCCCTGCTTTGGAATTAGAAATACCTGTTTTGGATTTTGCTAGTCACCACAACCAGTAGCCTAAGCCTTGTTTTCCTTTTTGAGGATTAAAATCCCTGAACTGTAGCTCTGCTCCCCCGTGTCTCGCGTTTAGGCTCTCTCCTGCTTTGCGCTCGTCTAGACTAATTCGTGACACTTGAGCATGATATGAAGGGTATTTTTTAAACGATGTGTTAACCTGTTAGCTTGACCATTTCAAAGAACCAAACTATTCGGCAACTATTCGGGCACTCATTCAGAAGCAGAAGAAGGATGGGGAGATTTGGAGGCAGACAGCTACAGTGGGACCACAGCATAGGCTACTGCTGGAAGTTAAAATGGCACAAGATGCAGTGCTCCTCAAATTCAAAAAGATCCTGGAGGTTAAGAGATCTCACCTGCCGCCCAGCCCCTCCCAGCATACAAGAAAACAGCCTAAAACTCTGGGAGCCTCTGGCTGCTTGGCTGCCTGCACTGATCCTTCTGAACCCCAACAATGAGGCTCCACATCCCCGGGTTTGATTGCGACCCTCCGTTGCCCTCTTCATCCCTTTCCATTTCTCACTCACCACTGAGCTATTTTGTAAATATTTGTTTATAGTTTCTTTAATAAAACATCCTTTTTTTTGGCACTTAAAAAAAAAAAGAGTTCTCAATTTTATGCTAAAAAACATGGCGGCGGGTGTCTTATTTTATTTTATTTTTCCTTTTTCAGTGAATTTGTTTTCACCACTAGCAAGCTGTGACTGTAGGGGGCCCTCTGCTGGCCACGGGTGTCTAGTATCTATTTAACTGCCATTTACCTCTTAGGATTTCTATATAGTTGAGTCTATTTGACACAGTGAGAGGGAGGACCCCAGGTCAACACATCCACACAATGTCAAGGATGACACAATAAAAGTTCATTATTTATTTCCAGTATGGTCGATAACAACAGCATTTATGCAGGAGTCCAGGTGCAACATTCAACTACTCTGATCCATACAATAAATACCCTATTTATGTATCTTCAACAATAAAATGTCTCCACATTAAAACATCAAGAAAAAATGATTTAATCAGAGTATTTAAGCAAATACTGAAAATTCAAATTCCCTTTTCAGGGAATCTCTCTTCAAACTGCATTAAAATAGTTTTTCTTGTTAAAAGGTACCTAGACCATGTGTAGTGCCACCTAGTCATGATATTTCAAGAAACTTAACCTCTGCTGAAAATATTTTGGCATGCCTGGCTGAGGCATGAAGTAGCTATGTGACATAAGAAATAAAGGCAGGGTTCAAGAGATGGATGATCAGTGGATTTGGATATCATCACTGTAATCAGAAGTCCTCGCTCCGGCAGTAGAGCAGGAACCCCACAGACTGCGCTCTGCCGTAGCTTCAGCCACAGGTCCTGAAACGAACTTCTCTCTTGACTCAGCTCACTCTGGTTTGCTGTTTGCACACAAAGTCCGCCACCAACTCGAACTCGTTGCGTCCGAGCCACAGCTCCGGTAGCTCCTTCACACGGTCCAGACCGAACTCTATCACCAGACCCATCAGAACCTCCTCGTCCACCAGGTCAGAGTCTATTCCGGGGACGTGTTCCTGGAGTGCCGCCGGAGACCGTTCAGACGCACCGGAGTGCGCCGAGTCGCTGCCGTCTCCAAACCGCTCGGGGTAGTTAACAGTCTGTGGCTCGTTCATGTGATCCTGGTGACGGAATGCCGGTTGCCCGTGATTCCGATACTGCGTGTTCAGTTTCTGCAGGTGTCTGCTGGCCGACAGTTGTGACGCCGCTGCGCAGCCGGGGCCTGGAAAGTGGGAATAGATGCGCACTCCGTGACAGACTACGTTACTGTTCCCCATGTTCACATGCGCGCTCCCGACTGAATGCGCAACATCGGTCACTCCGAGGTGCCCCATCGTGAGTCCGTCATATTCGAGCTGCAGCGGCCGCTGCAGGTGAAGTGAGGTCGAGGACTGTCCTTTACCCAGCTGTGTGTGCGCTGGGTCGCGGTAGGCGGTGCGGGGCAGGGCGGCGAGTTCACCAGCATGGTCATCATGATATTCACAGGCTCCGTCAGCTGTTAAAAGATCCGTGAGAACAGACCTGAAGTGACGTTCACTGCCATATGGGAGAAAGGGAAGAGAATTTGTCTCACTCTGATCACCAGCAGCCCCCCTCTTCATAAAGTGCCCCTCACTGCTGCAGGAGTAAGTAGCTTTCTCTCCAGAATGGATAGATAATATTACCTATTAGAACCACATAATGCAACATCTGAAATGAAATCACCACGCTGTAACTTATTTGTAGACATGATACATGTTTAACTAATTTGACATGAAATACACATGCGTGCTTTCAATGGGCTGCGTGATGACCAGACAGACAATTTATCAAATTTCAAAAATAGACTTCCTTAATCCTATATGAAACTGACACCCACCGTCCAAAAACAAAGTTGCCTACATGTCCTCCAAAAGTCGCACTGCATTGGAAACACTGACGTCTTCTCCAAATTCGCTCCTTCGCACTTGTCACTTCAGTCCTCTGAGTGTTGTGAAACTCGACGCGATCAGCCCGCTTCCACCCCCCCAAAGCATCTGTTCGATATCACGCATGCGTATTGATCACATAAAAAAAAAAGTGATGTGATGCTCTGATGTCATCCAGCCAAGCTGAGAGAGGAAGGGAGGGCGAGATACGCACCGGAGGCGACATGATGTATTCTGATGTGATTAAACAGCAAGACAGGATGGGAGCAGGATCACCTGGATCACTTCACAAGTTGCTTTTTTGGATTATTTCTCTTTGATGGAGACAGAAAGTGACTCTTAAAGTCATGTATTTTGTTACAGATCCCAGATTTGGGACCGTCCTGCACACATGGATGAGGCTTCAAAACTTCATCTCTTCCTCTCTGAGCTCTTATCTCCAGATCAGAGAATAGCCTGCAAACATTCCCACTTTTCCTCTACAAATCACTGCCACCCTCCTCCACTACTTTCATTCTTCCTTCCTTACTCCACTATTCTCTTCTCTCTCTCCTCAGCTTACTCCCCTGGTGTGTCTCTTGGCATTTCCACAAGGACAGACACAAACTGCTCTAAAATGAAAAACACCGAAAAATGCTTCAGTGATTTAAATCTCATGAATCCCAGGTTGCCGTTTTGGTTTATTTTTCGGTCTGATGATTAAGAGATAAAACATCCAAACAGGAAGAGACTGTATGATGAGACTAGGCTGCTGCGACTCACACATTTACACACTCATTTTCCTTCTATAGAGTTGGTACATTGATATAAAACTATTTTATATATCTTTTTCATCGCAGAGTCTCAACAACCAGCCTGAAACCCCGCTAACAATAACGCCGCTGATAAAACATTTTATATAATTTAGTTTTGACACGAGCCGTAGTGGCTTTTTGATAAGATTTCAAGGCTTCTTTATTTTACACAGTGAGCATTTCCGTGTTCCCAGCCAGCAGAAGACGTTTAAATTTAAACGTTAGATTGGTATTTTAATGGTAATTATATTTATACGTTGTTTTGAAAAGTTGAAAAATAAGGTTTCCCCGTTTTTTGGTTTCAGCTTGTCCATCCATCCATTTTCGTCCACTTATCTGGGGTCGGGTCACAGTGGCAGCAAGCTAAGCAGGGTATTAACTTTCCAGTTCCTCCTGGGGGATCCAAAGGTGTTCCCAGGCCATAGGAGATATGGCCCTTCAGTGAGTTCTGGGTCTACCTTTTGGGTCTCCTCCCAATTAGGCCTAAGCAGAATACCTCCTAAGGAAGGCGCCCAGGAGATCCATCATGTTGCTGAGCCCCGTGGGTCAAGCCTCGGTCACCAGACGCTCGCCGGCATCCTCTCCTAGATCTCCCTCCTGAAAAGGAGCAACACAGCTGCCATGATCACAGGGACTCACAAATCCCTCATCCGCAATACGGTGCTGATTATTTTAGGGGGATTATTTTACAGCTTGTTCTAAATGAACACATATATATGTATATATTTCAGTTTGGTTGGTTAATCACAAAGTGAAATTCCAGTTCATCATTTTAACCAAACGGACACAGGCAGTAGTAGAAATGGGATAGTATTTTTTATTTCCACTAGAAGTGAGGTTAAAAAAGGGAAATGTGAGAACCTAGAAGTTCTACATCTATTTGTGAAGTAAATGAAAACACTAGCTCAATTTATGGATTAATGCAATTGTACACCGATAAACTATGTGCGTTTCAATTTCAAAGCAAAGAAAAAACTAAACATAAATTAAACCAATTTATCTTGAGGGGTGAAATTATCATGTGGTAAAGTTATGAGTAGACAGAGACATGTTTGGTCATGGAAAAGCATAGTGACACAGTATATAATAGCTAATATAATATCTCGTATGTGAACTCTGCAGTTCTGGGTAAAAGTAGGTCTCTATTTTTGCTTTTGCTGTGTTTAGTAATTAGATCCATTTACTGGTTTAATTGACGTGTTAAGCAGCGTAAAATGTGAAAATTGCAAAACCACCTCTCCTCCCTCCCTCCCTTTCACTTTCTGTGCTTGCGCCCTCTTCCATTACCCTCCACGCCTCATTTCCCCACGTCGCGATGGTAACAGTGATGAAGACAAATGTTTGATTCATTGGGTCTACCGCCACCCAGTTGGTCAGCTGGCATGTGTGTGTGTGTGTTTTGGCCAGCCGCCCTTCTTTCTCTCTGTACTGCACTAAAATTGCCTGGTGGTGCATTTTGTTCATAAATTTTAAATGATGTATGAGGCACTACTCTACTTCTAAAAACTTGCATTCTGTAAAATGTTCTTGCAGATGTGTTTTCAGCTGTAATCTAAATCTTGTGACACTGTAGTCTGTTTTCTTTTGCCATATCCTGACTACTCTATCTGTTTATTTGTGTTTTTATCAACATAATGAGGATGTGTTGTTAATGAGCATATTTGGCAAGTCACAGAACATTCACACTGAACACATCTGTAAAATATTCTATTACAACATTTTAATTAGTTCTCTTACAATATCTGAAGGTTTATTATGGTTGCTGTACGTGTAGGCACTCAAACAACTTGGTTAAGGGTAATTAAATTAAAAGTGTAATGAGGGGTGAGTGCGCAGAGGGTCAGGTGACTATTTGAGGACATCTAGTCTCAAGGCCTGAAAATCCACAGCACATTTGGCATTTGCTTTGCTCACCATCATCTAGGGTCCAACCATTCAAATCTGCAATCCATCCAATGCCTGTAGTGATATCTAACTCTGAACATGTTGGACAAACAGACCGACAGTTCAGTTTGCGATTCAGAGCTAAAGTACAGGTAGAGTTTCTGATTTACACACCAGAGAGGTGGATCGGATCCTGACGGTTTGGAAAATATTGTGAAAGGAATTCAAATGTGCCAGTCAGCAGGGGAGCATCAAACTGTAACATCTGAACAATACATTTAATCAGATTAATGAAAGCTGAGAGGTGCATATAGTCATTTGTCTTTCTCACTGACAAGCCCCCACACAGATCAAATAGTAGTGTGTCATTTTGGCAAGGCTCCAGACTCAAGACTCAAAACAGCTGTGAAGTTTGATTACCGTGCAGATGGTTTGGATACAGGCTCTGCTAGTCCACTAATTTATGCAGCTGGAGTATGTGTGTGCGGTAAAGGCCACCAGAGGTTACGTCTGCATCAAGAAGCATTAGTAATTCCTCCCTCCAGTAATTAGTCCTGTCAGCTGCAATCGAAAGCTCTAATAAGGCCAGAAAGCAGCAGGAAGATCAGGTCTGACTCACAAGCTGAGATCTGAGCACGAAGCTGTGCAACAAATGCAGACTTCAAACACCTCCGGACTGCAACGAATCAGTGTACAACGTCTTCATATTATGGAAATATTATGGAAATACGGATATGTTCAGCTGTAGCTGTAATGAAAGCCTGAACACTGAAATATGTCAACAAAGATTGGATGGATCTCTTGGCTGTGCTCGGTCCCAGTCCACTGGGAGGCTGCTCAGCCTGCTTTTGTTGCCTGTTAGCTGCACAGCTAACTGAACTAGCGAAAGTTAACAGCAGTTATGACCTGATATGTGATGTGCTGCCTCCCATTTTTATGGAGTATGAATTCGACAGGCGGAGGAGAAGTCTCAGTTCTGACAAATTGTACGTTCATGTTGATATGTTGAACCTGTTAGCAAACTGTTTTCACATCCAGCGGTTACAGAGCAACATCTGTTATTTATTTGGAGTGGTATTTGCTTCACCGGATGAACGTGAGTCCAATCTTCTCTCTTTTAGCTCTGTCTTTGGTCTCCACCAGCTCTCGGGTGAATTATCTGGCTCTTTAGATTTTAAATGCTCCTGCAGCTCGTCGCTAACTGTGTCTGCCTGCTGTTTGCTGCTGAGCAGGTTGTGTTGGGTGTTTTTTCTTTCACAGCTTTATCTCATAACCATGAGAGCGAGCGTGCAGAGTGAACCAGAACAGTAAAGTTGTAGGCGGGACAGATAAACAATGAGCTGATACTCACTCACTACAACGCTCAGTAAAATCAAGGGAATCTGTATTTTCAGTTCTTCAATACAAGCGACTTCTTTCACATTGTCACTTTAATCTGTGCGTTGAGATTACCAACAGAAATGATGCTAAAAATAAGAATCAAGTTGTGTGTTTCCCTAACTGATACCTTTCTCTAGAAACTCTTTACAGAGTGCCTCATAAGTAAAAATGTTTAAAGAGGTGGTATTCTGCTCATTTTCAGGTTCAAAATCCTTTTTACAGGTTGTACCAGAACAGGTTTACATGGTTTCATTTTCAAAAAACACCATATTTTTGCCATACTGCACATTGCTGCAGCTCCTCTTTTCACCCTGTGTTGAAGGCTTCGTTTTAGCTATGGAGTCATCTTGTCTCTAAATGATCTTTGTTGGGAGTTGCACATGCTCAGTTCCTAGTTAAGGACTACTAGCCAATCAGAAGCAGAGAAGGGCGGGTCAGCGAGAAGACGGTAAACAGCTCGGGTTCAGCCGTATGTGTTGCCGACCAGCTCGGCAAC